AAAAAATAAATACATGTAATTTGAACATGATAAATTGAGAAATACGAATAATAAAAAAAAAAATTAGAAAATATTAGAATATAAATCAGGTTTCCTACATGACATTTCCTTAAAGACTTATTAATACATATTATTCAAGTACATGCAATACATGTACGTTGGAGGTTCAAGACGCGGAGACAGGTCATTTCGATGAGAACATATACACAACTGTCTCTTTACGGGGTAGGTGGTGTCATAAAAGGATTAAATTCGCCTGATTCCACCTCTGATTTTTAGCTCACCTGAGCTGAAGGCTCAAGTGAGCTTTTCTGATCACATTTTGTCCGTCGTCCGTCCGTCTGTCTGTCCGTCTGTAAACTTTTCACATTTTCGACTTCTTCTCAAGAACCACTGGGCCAATTTTGACCAAACTTGGTACAAAGCATCCTTGGGTGAAGGGGAATTTAAATTGTTAAAATAAAGGGCCAAGTCCCCTCAAAAGGGGAGATAATCAAGAGAAGACAAAAATAGGGTGGGGTCCTTAAAAAATCTTCTTCTCAAGAACCACTGGGCCAGAAAAGCTGAAACTTATGTGGAAGCATCCTGGTATAGTGTAGATTCTTAATTGTTCAAATCATGACCCCTGGGGGAAGGGCGGGGCCACAATGGGGAATCAAAGTTTTACATAGAAATATATAGGAAAAATCTTTGAAAATCTTCTTCTCAAGAACCAATGGGCCAGAAAAGCTGAATTTATGTGGAAGCATCCTGGTATAGTGTAGATTCTAATTTATTGAAATCATGACCCCCCAGGGGAAGGGCGGGGCCACTATGGGGAATCAAAGTTTTACATAGAAATATATAGGAAAAATCTTTGAAAATCTTCTTCTCAAGAACCACTGGGCCAGAAAAGCTGAAACTTATGTGGAAGTATCCTGGGGTAGTGTAGATTCTAAATTATTCAAATCATGGCCACCGGGGGAAGGGCAGGGCCACAATTAGTAATCAAATTTTTGCATAAAAATATATTGGAAAAATCTTTGAAAATCTTCTTCTCAAGAACCACTGGGCCAGAAAAGCTGAAACTTAAGTGCACCTGGAAGGATCATGGGGTAGTGTAGATTTCAAAATGTCTAAATTATGATCAGTGGGGTAGGTTGGGGATGCATTATGTATTACAAGGGGGAAATCTGGTATAGAACAGAATGGTCAAAGCTTCTCAGGTGAGCGATGTGGCCCATGGGCCTCTTGTTTTTTTAAAGTCTGTCTTTGCGCTGCTAGTGATTTATATTGTTTAAACAGAATTTAATTTTATGAAAAGAATTATTTTTAATGCTTATTTTTGACATATGCATAAATTATTCACCTATTAATTTGAGTTTAAATAGTAAAAAAGAATTTGTCACTCAGTATTTATCAAAGGAATTAGTGTCAATCCTCTACATCAAAGAGCGTCTGACTTGTATGTATGATATAAATTGCGTAAATGTGTTAAATGAAATTTGAGTGAATCCCGTATGTTGTGTGAGAGAGTCAGTTTTTAGATCCGCCTTGGACTATCCCGGACGTGAACATTAGATGTACCTCATCAAGAAAATATAGTTGGTGTGTGAGCTTTACAACCTGTCTTTGTTTTCTGTGACTTGATTTGATTTATTTTTTAAAACACAAACTTTAACTTTTTATTCCTTGACTTTCGTTTAATAAATTTTCATCACAAGTTCACTTGTGTTACTTTAACCAAATATATTCTATTAAAATAATGATTCCATCTTCTTTGTTAACTTTAAATTGCTAGAAATATAGTGTAAAAATCCAGAATGAAAATAATGAATGTTAGAAATGAAATTATTAAGTGTCGGAAATGCAATGCAAAATTCCGGAAATCAAATGCAGCAAAAACTGGTACCTCCCCTTACCCAAAGAAACAAATACATGTAGTACATGTACACACTTCGATGCTCGATTGAACACTCTAATCAGCACAAGTTTTAGAAATTAAAACGTTTATATATAGGAAAGTTTAGTGATGCATACTAATCTTTTTTTTTCATTTCTTTGACGACCTGCGAATTAAAAAAAATGACTATTGGTTAACATTATAATAGGTTATGGATTAATCATGGATTTGAACACCAGTCCTGACCTGTATGTACCTGAACAAACTAACCAATTGACATTCTCGACTCTGAAGGAAAACATTGTATCATTTGAGGGAAGGGGGTAACGTATCGCGATGAGAGGAAATTAAAATAATCTATTTTAGTCCAATAAACACGAAAGAATGGCTTGGAATATTTGTATGCAACTACATGGCTTTCTCAGAAACAATTTTGCATTTGTTAAAAAAAATTCTAATTATTCATTTTTTTCTCTCGTATTCTGAAAACTCGGAATGTATATATTTTGGGGGCTCCTCCGTGTAAAACAGCATGTACTTAGTTACAATCATGTACCCGTAAAATTGTGTCATAGTGAAATTCTTTTTATTCGAGGAAATAAAAGAAATACATTCGGTACAATACAATTATAAGTTATGTATCAATTCATGCAAAACTCAAAGTTGCTTCATTTAATTTTCGATTTTCATAAGAATTGGAAACGTCACTTCCATTTACAATTTACTGTGCGCATTTGCCATGTTTATTTGTATTTGCTAATTTAAACAACATCGCAAATTTTTTCTGATATAAAGCAATTAGAATAACTTGATATAGGCCCGTATACATGTAACGATTGCAATTACTTCAAAGTGGAGGGGGAGACGGGGCCTAAAAAATCCTCGTACTACATGTGTACCTTTCCAATAATAGAATCATCCGTGCAAATCAAAAACAAGTTGCAGTATTGATATCCCCAATTTTTTAGATAACGAGACTGTAATGGACTTCACAAGGGTAGAATTTAACATTAATTTATTTACACGTGCAATTAAAATCACTATCAAAATTGGCAGAGTTATCGATAGGTCATCCTGTGTCACCCTTCAGTGTAATCGATGAACTCATCCATAGATACCTCAGCAGATGAGAAAAGCGCGCGTAAACATGGTAAACGCAGCACCTTTTATTCATTCGTCAAAGAATAGAATCCGACATTCAACACTTTTAATTATGTTCAAGAAAACCTTTATATTTGTATATAGAAATATTCTTACGATTAGCGCAAATGACATATTTTCTTGATCTTAAATCTAGGACTCTAGTAAAAATCAAAGAGCGGTAATGTTGACCTCACGAATGTATACAGGTCATAATGCGCGATCGATAAACAGGTTTCATAACCATGTGATAACTGTACACTCAAAACACGCACACTGTACACACAAAACTATCAGGGTCCAAGGAAAATTCACGATGCATGAATTGAATGACAGTGAATTATCTTAAGCTTGAATTTTTTTTAATAAATAATGCTACATTGAATATTAATACTTAAAAAGTATTTTTCCTCTCTCTGGTCTTGTTCTTTAAACTAAACACAAGGAGAAAGTTGTATCTGAATAATCTGCATGACATCCAGCTAGAGAATACGTTAAAAATATTATTTCAACAAAGTTTAACATTCAATTTAGCTAGGTTTATTATTCTTATCCAGTTTATTTCAGTTATACATGTTATACGCGTACGCATATAGAATTCTTCTTCACTTGCCGTATAAAATCACTTACCTGTACATGGACTATAAAGTTTTCTGCTCATCTAATAACACATGACTTGAACAAAATAACGTTTTCATGAGTTCAATAAGATGTTAAAGAACCCATTTCATATCGATAACCATATCGAAATATTTACCGATTTTGAGTTATAGAGCAAAAACTTTCAAGCTCCCTCGATCCCTAATTTGAGGGGTCAGCCCCTTTTTAATGATGTCAGATGATAGATCTTAAAATTATGCACAATATTTGTTCAACATGTCTTAACAAGTTATTTTTAGTTTGAAAGATACTTAAGGAAACATATGTAAATTTTTGAGCTTTTAGGCATTCTCATTTTTGACCCCTATATAGCACCATTTTGAGGGCAGAAATCGAAAAAGAAAAAGCGATGTGCACAACTTCAATTCTACTAGTATTTGAATTCAGTTGAATTTCTGCTCCAGCTTTTGTCGTTTCTGAGCCTTTGTCTGGAAACGAACAGTACCAGATTTTCATTTAAAGGGAAAAAACTCGAAAGCGGAAGAGAATTTTTGAAATTTTTGAAATAATTCTAATTGAGTTTTGTAACGTTTAAAAACTCTGAAAATTTGAGCGAAATCCGTTAAGAAATGAGCGAGTTATGAGGTCTCAAAGTTGGCGTCTAGGAAAAAAAAAAAAAAAAAAAAAGAATAATAGGGAATAATCTTAACCATCAGAATCAGTAGAAGGGCTTCCGCCTGAGCGGAAGACCTTAATTATCTCACCAACATGTCATTGTACAACAAAGATGTCAGCATTTTATTTGTCCTCTGAACAGGTGAAATGATTTGAATGACACTCCTATCGTTGAATCTTATACTAAACCTAGCTATGGTGCTGCGATGGAATTTGGAGATCTACCTTTACTTACTGCCATGTTCATATTAAAGCCGGAAGTACGAGTTCGAAAATTTGAAATCTCGATCCCGACTTAAATTTGACATCGGAAAGAAAATAATCAGTTTTTCTCAATTTTTTTTTTCTGAAAATTCAAAAACTTGAGCGGCGGTTTTGTAAACCTAAAAATAAAAAAATGCTGGCCTAATTGACCCCATCCCTGAACTCTACACATGATTAGGGGTCATGAAAAAATATGATGTGAGATTTACATTACTTTTAGATAGAATTTGTCGAGGTGAGCTTCGTAGTCTTCAATTACCTATGATTTGCATTGGTGACTAGTTTGATGTTTTGGGAAGAAGTTAATTCCCAAGTAATTATAATACCTATCAATTCATAAATTGCATAAATGTATCTTGAGATGTTCACTTCTACATTATTAGTTTAGTTTTGAGGTAGGTTGTATAATCTCTGATTACCTATATTTTTTATTTTAAAGGAAGCAAAGGATGTGAAGGTGATAGACTGTAAAATATTCAGCAGTTACCAAGGAACTGGTATAGCAGTACTGACCAGTACCTTTAGAGTATACATTGTCAATAATGTGGATGAGCCTAGGATCAGGAGATTGGCTGAGGTTCCAGGTAAACATTACTATTCAGAAATATGCCTGACAGTGGGATTTTTTCCCAGTACTTTGGGTTTGGGGGCTGGGACCCTCAGAATTGGGAATTTCAGTGTCAGTAAGGCTAAATTGGGAATCTCTCATAAAACCCACTCACTTAAAAAGCATTGTCAACAAGCATTCTGAAAGTATTGCATAAGCAATACATGTCCCCTACTGGGATCCCCTTTTCTCTTTAGGGTGTCATTTTATTAGAGCCTGTGTATGAAAAAGTGCCACCAAAATATGGACATTTCGGTTATACTTGTTTATGAATGAAAAGTCTTGGAATTAAGTTTGATCTGCCTTACAAAGAAAGACGATGTCTCAGGACTCGACATTAACTTTTTTTCCTTCTTGTCCATTCTGACAAATGACCAAGATATTTACTTGTCCGAACTTCAACTTCACTTGTCCGAAAATTTTTCAATATCTTATTCTGTCAACTTGAAAACAAGTACTTAAATTAAAAAAATTAAGACACATCAGTGTTGTTATTGATAAATAAGACAAACACATATGAAACAAAATTTTATCTAGACTTCCTGTCCTGACAACAACATAAATGTTTGCAAGTGAATCTGTAATTCAATCAAATTCCAAACCCGCAAGCGTCGTAAGATCCACTCCATGCAATAGTGTGGATGCAATTAGTGAACATCGATTCCGATCAAGTGTGAACTAGTTAGCTTACATAGCGGTTGATATCGGGATCGAAATTCAGGTTTATGTACTGCTTCCGTTTTTATTCGATAAACTTTTCAATCGTTTTTTAGCTCACCTGAGCTGAAAGCTCAAGTGAGCTTTTCTGATCACATTTTGTCTGGCGTCCGTCTGTCTGTCCGTTCGTCCGTCTGTCCGTCTGTCTGTAAACTTTTCACATTTTCGACTTCTTCTCAAGAACCGCTGTGCAAATTTCAACCAAACTTGCCACAAAGTATCCTTGGGTGAAGGGGATTCAAGTTTGTTCAAATGAAGGGCCACGCCCTTACTTAAGGGGAGATAATTCGGAATTAATGAAAATTTGGTGGCAGATTTTAAAAATCTTTTTCTCAAGAACCACTCTGCCAGGAAAGAAGAAACTTACAGGGAAACATCCTCAGGTAGTGTAGATTCAAGTTTGTTCAAATCATTACCCCCGGGGGTAGGGCGGGGCCAAAATGGCCGACCTAAGATTTACATAGAAATATATAGGAAAATTCTTTAAAAATCTTCTTCTCAAGAATGACAAAGCCATAATTGATCATATTTATATGGAAGCATGCTCAGGTAGTGTAGATTCACGTTTGTTCAAATCATGACCCCCCGGGGGTAGGGCGGGGCCAAAATGGCCGACCAAAGTTTTACATAGAACTATATAGGAAAATTCTTTAAAAATCTTCTTCTCAAGAATGACAAAGCCATAATTCATCATATTTATATGGAAGCATGCTCAGGTAGTGTAGATTCAATTTTGTTCAAATCATGACCCCCGGGGGTAGGGCGGGGCCAAAATGGCCGACCAAATTTTTACATAGAAATATATAGGAAAATTCTTTAAAAATCTTCTTCTCAAGAATGACAAAGCCATAATTCATCATATTTATATGGAAGCATGCTCAGGTAGTGTAGATTCAAGTTTGTTCAAATCATGACCCCCGGGGGTCGGGCAGGGCCAAAATGGCCGACCTAAGATTTACATAGAAATATATAGGAAAATTCTTTAAGAATCTTCTTCTCAAGAATGACAAAGCCATAATTCATCATATTTATATGGAAGCATGTTCAGGTAGTGTAGATTCAAATTTGTTCAAATCATGACCCCCGGGGGTAGGGCGGGGCCAAAATGGCCGACCAAATTTTTACATAGAACTATATAGGAAAATTCTTTAAAAATCTTCTTCTCAAGAATGACAAAGCCATAATTCATCATATTTATATGGAAGCATGCTCAGGTAGTGTAGATTCAAGTTTGTTCAAATCATGACCCCTGGGGGTAGGGCGGAGCCACGAAATATATGGCCGACCAAAATTTAACAAAGAAATATATAGGTGACAAAGCCATAATTCATCATATTTATATGGAAAATTCTTTAAAAATCTTCTTCTCAGGAATAGCACAGCCATAACTGATCATATTTGTATGGAAGCATCCTCAGGTAGTGTAGATTCAAGTTTGTTCAAATCATGACCCCCCGGGGTAGGGCGGGGCTAAAATGGCCGACCAAAGTTTTACATAGAAATATATAGGAAAATTCTTTATAAATCTTCTTCTCAAGAATGAGAATTAAGCCATAATTCATCATATATATATGGAAGCATGCTCAGGTAGTGTAGATTCAAATTTGTTCAAATCATGACCCCGGGGTTAGGGCGGGGCCAAAATTGCCGACCAAATTTTTACATAGAAATATATAGGAAAATTCTTTAAACATTTTCTTCTCAAGAATGACAAAGCCATAATTCATCATATTTATATGGAAGCATGCTCAAGTAGTGTAGATTCAAATTTGTTCAAATCATGACCCCCAGGTGTAGGGCGGGGCCAAAATGGCCAACCAAAGTTTTTAAAGATATATATCGGAAAATTCTTTAAAAATCATTTTCAAAAAAATAGCAAATCCATGATTGGTCATGGGACTACTTTTGCATTTAAACTTTACAATAAAAAGCCATTTTCTACTTTTTCTTACCCATAATGCTCAGGTGAGCGATGTGGCCCATGGGCCTCTTGCTTTAATTATTATTATTTGAAGACTTCTTTGCATAAAAAATCACTTGTCCAATCAGACAAGTGTCCAGCAATATTCACTTGTCTGTAATTTGTTTTCATTGGTACCGGACAAGCGAACAAGTGTTAATGTCAAGCCCTGTGTCTTTGAATGCCATTTGACACACATGCATGCTTTGATCAGAACAGCTCATTTTACATGGTTAAAAACAATTTTATACTAAAAAAATTCAACTTGATCTATAGTTTGTCACGGTATAAAGCCATCCAGCAAGTTTCAAATCATTACAATGTTGTTTGTAGTGCTGGGTATCGTGCCTGAAAAATCGTATTGCGATATATTGCAATATTATATTTTGTATTGCAATTTATCACAATATAAATTTTTTTTATATATAAATTTTGCTTTTCATCAGTGTTAAATGAAGATACAAATTCAAATTACATGTATTCTTGCCGAGTTGATATTGCATTGCCTGATCGCATTGTGTCGACACAAGTGGCAAGCTAAGATTTTTGTGGCACAACTTTAAGAATCAAGTTGTAATATTCAGATTGGGCTTTAACATGAAGGGGTTTCATGTAACAGTTGTCTTTTCGTTTCTAACAGAGACATGTCTCTGGTTTCAGATCACACTTCACACCGCCTGCCGCCATATTTTACCTTGAAAAGGGCATATAACTCTTTTTATAACAATTTATAGCATATCAAACCCGGTATTCACAAAAAATACCGCGATACGTATTGTGAAGAATGAAATCGGGATACACCAGTTAACCGGTAATATCGCACAGCACTACACTACATTTGTTTGGATCATTAATCTAGTGCATCACGAACCCTATTGTGAACCCAATATAAAAAATTAAAATGCCATAATTCTGTTAAAAATCAATGAAACAGAACGAAATGCAAATTGATCTATAACTAATCAAGGTAAAGTCACATACTAAAAAATAATATCAAGAATGGTAAAAGATATCAATGAAAATGAATTCCCGAAAATGTCAGTTATTTTATCAATTTTTATGACCCCACCCCCATGCCTGCAAATAATCCCACATGCTTTAATTTTTTGTTCACAATTCTATAATTTTCAGGTCTTTCTTCAAACCCCAGTTGCTGGACAATAATTAATTTAGATCGACAGTCCAGAGCGCTGATTGCCAAAGAAAGTGAACTTTTTCTGATTGACCATGGAGGACAGTATCAAGTTCAGGTAAATTTTAAACTTAAAAAAGAGACTTCAATAACGTCTTTTAAATATGAACAAATATCTGCACCCATATGAAGATAGTATATATCAAGGTATGGCATTCATGTCCATTTTTAGGTCACCTGAGTCACTCAGGTACACTTATTGCTATCTGTTTTCCATCATCCTCCGTCGTTCATCGTCAATCTGACGTATTAAACTTTTGAGCATTTTCAGCTTCTTCTCTGGAACTGCTTAGCCAGTTGCAACCAATTTTGGCTTATAACATCAATGGGTGAAGGGGGACAAAAATTGTGAAATTCATGGCCCCTGCCCCCCTTGGAGCCTGAGAGGTGGGGTATAATCCATGAAAATTAATGCAATTTTTAAAAATCTTTTTCTTTACTCATGGACATCAAGCAGTCAAACTGTTGGCATGATTGTAATAAGCATTGAGTTCTCTACCAAATTGCGCAAATTCATGGCCCCAGGGTCAGGGGTTCTAATGCTAGGGCGGGGCTAAATAGATTATATAGTGAAAGTAAATTATTTCCTTGAAAATCTTCTTCTCTGCTCCTGGGTATTAACAAACAAACTCAATGTATAGTTATGCGTGTTATACATGAAATACAGTGGCTTCCACTTAATTGGATAGTGGTTAAAGGAATATTTCGGCTATTTCAATATAATATCAGAGCACAAAACCATTTCTTATATATTTATTAATAATTTCTCCTGATATTCTGATGAGAAAATATCAGAATTTCGTTTTATCTGATACAAAAATCTGGACCATCGTAGTATTTTTTGATAATTGTGACCGTGTTCACACCTCTAACTTCGTTAGTGAAGCCTTTGTTTACACTGTCTGACACCTTGATTATGATAATGAGGGGATTAGTTACAGCTGAATGCACGCAGTCACCTTACCTGTGTTAATAATTGGCACACTAGATTGTTATGTTTATGTCAGAGGTCATCATGGAGTCATGAAGTGGTCAGTGTAAGGGCTCCGGAAATTTTTGTACATAACAACGATATATTCGCCTGTCCAGGCCAAAAAAAATTGTCAGGTAACGTCTACCCGTATATGTATTGACTGACTTTTAGCAACATGTGCATTATTTTCCTATTTTGCACTTGATTACTTAGTGACCGTTTTATTTTTTCTCATGTGGGGACAACTCTGGAGATGAACTGTACTCAAGTTACGTTTTGGGCTATGTCTGTGTATGTGTATAAATAGCTATGTCTCTCTCAGATACGGTCCAAATAATGGCCGAGTCCAATTCAGTTATCTACGGGAACACTTCCAACCCCAGTAACAGTAACACTAACAGTGAAGTATCATTACACTCAATACACACGTTGCTTATTCAAATGAACTCTAGACTTTTGTGAAATGGAGAGCAAGATGTCCCAATTAAATGTTATTCAAAGTGATGTGGCTAAAATCAAGACACAAGTAACTCATCTAGACTCAGAAATAAAGACCATTCTTAGTGAATTCAAAGATCTTGAGTCAAATGTAAGTTCTTTGGGGTTAGTATTTGACTCTGTGAAGGACACAGCGGAAGCGGCTAAGAAACAGGCTGAAAGTAATAAAAATGACATCGAGAGAGCAGGTTCTGAACAAATAGCAGCACAAAGACAGACTGAGCGAGACCTGCAATTATTAAATAAAGAAAACACTGAAATTAGAGACTCTATTGTTGACTTAAAAGCCAGATCTGTGAGAGACAATTTAGTGTTTTCAGGCATTCCTGAACAAAAAGGAGAGGACACAGAGGAGGTTTTACAACTTTTCCTTCGGAAGAAATTTAAGATTAGCTATGAACTTTCATTTGAATGGGTCCACAGGATGGGAAAGTTCACCAAATTTAGTGATTTAGTGAAGTCATCACATGGACCCAAAATCACCAAACACCTAGGGATGAGCGACCATCCCAGAAGAGGCCGTGCACTGCATCTACTCCAAACCGTAACGACGCCTAGGGGGGGCGCAGGAGAGCAGACATCCACAAAACGTAATGACATCTGATCGAACAGAAAACACTTTGAATTTTCTATCTTTAAATGTCTGTGGAATTAAAAACCGTCTCAATTATACAGAATTTAAAGAATTTATTACCCAATACGACATACTGGCTTTTACTGAAACAAAGACAGATAATTCTGTTGAATTTTCAGAATTTTTCGACCCCCATTTGACCCCCCGTGGCAAAATCTAAATTCTGAAACCTTACTGCACATCTACATGACACCACCAACCATCTCCCAAATAATGATTAGGCTACTGAGTAAAATGTAGGAGGAGTTTAGGGAAGATGGGGCTTTTTGCATAAAAAACGTCATTTTTCGACCCCCATTTGACCCCCCGGGGCAAAATCAAAATTCCGAAACCATACTGCACATCTACATGACACCACCAACCATCTCCCAAAAGATGATTAGGCTACTTAGGCTACTGTGTAAAATGTAGGAGGAGTTCATGGAAGAAGGGGCTTTTTGCATAAAAAAAAAGTCAAAATTTCGAAACCTTACTGCAAATCTACAGGACACCAGCAACCATCTCCCAAAAGATGATTAGGCTACCATATAAAATGTAGGAGGAGTTCACTGAAGAAAAGTGTGTCAGATGGACGGACGGATGGACGCACATGAGTAACAACAATATACCTGAACTTTCTTTAGAAAATTCAAGTATAACAATACACATTAGCTAAGCTAGGCCACCCATCAAATCGTATCAGTCCTTTCAGTACTTTGATTTAAAAATCAAAGTTAAAAAATTTTCACTTGTCCCCTGTTTCCATGGCAACTATTGTCAATTTGAAAGTTTTAAATGCAATACGCACAATTACAGATACTAATCATTAAAGCTGAACACTACTCCTAAATAGGCATAGTCCACCATATTTCCCGTTCTTCAACGCTCTCCCTACAACTCGTATATAAGGAGCAGATCATAGTCAGTTCAATGTATTTCACTGTAGAGATCCGATGAGTGCAGACGTACATCTTACAAAGCGTGCTACTCAATATCGATAAAATTTTCAAATTTTATGCATTTTTTCCGAAACAGGACAAAAGTATCATGGAAAATACAGGTCAATACATTATTTACAAACAGAAAATGCACATAAAAACAAGAAATAAACACAAAAAATCTAAAGACCACGATAGGAGTACTACATGCCGGCCACAAGTTTTGAGTGTGCAATCGGGTGTAACGAAATTGAACGGTTTATATACCCGTCTGTCAGTGCCTATTTATGAGAAGTGTTCAGCTTTAAATCAATAAAGTTTCATGACGATTGTTCAAGTGACCTGAGAGAACGCTCTCGGACAAAATTTGTCACTTTGTGCAGGTTTCCATGGCAACGGTAGACATTTTGAAACTGAATGACCACACAACAAAACTGCAACCAGTGATCGTCTTTTGAGGAAAGTTTCAGGAAGATTATCCCAGCCATCTCAGAGAAACAGCCCGGAGAACAAAAACATGCATACAATCGCAATATGTCACCCCCGACTTCATTCGGGGCAACATAATTAATAAAATAAAATAAAAAACCCAGATGTTTCACTGAACCATCTTCCGTTTTAGTGCTCAAATTGAAGTGGGGAGTTCAGCAGTAATCTATATCCCTTGAGTATTGGGCAAATGGTTAAGCCTGTTGGATTAAAAATACTAATCTCTTGTTGGCTAGCCTAAGTTTTAACCCTTGTCCTGCCAGGGATTCTATAGATAACAGCATCTCTGAGTGCCGAGCTGATAAGGAGCTCCAGCCGCTGACTGTGCCACGTTGATTTATAAATTTCTCTCAAATTACACATGCTGTAGATTATCTTAATTATCACCATTTTATAACAGACTTTCCTGATAACAATCTACAAAACTTTTTTTCATAAAAAACAAAAGAAGAGAAATGTGAAGAAATTTTTTTAATATTTCAACTCAGTAAAAAACTACAAAAGCTTTAAACTAAAATTTTACATTTAAAATATTTAAAATGAGAAATTATTGGTATTTTAATGTCATTATTTATTTCAAATTAGCTTTTTACAACTACTATATTGTAAGAGTCCTTTATGTAACTACTGGCTATACTTTCAGATTTTTAAACATAAAATTATGACTGCTACAAGTCCTTTTTTGACACCCGTTTAATGGACATAGAAATCCGATTTTGTGGCTCCGTTTCTTTCTTGAATATATCTGCCGTAAAGTTTTTTTTTTTTAACCAAAACGTCTTCAAAACAGGTATTAGAAATAATAAACTTTAATTGTCAATCAGTGTGCGATCATTTGACACAGTTGTATCGATTTTTTTCACCTTTGAAACTGGTGACGCGCATCAATGTTTTTAGATCCACGCGTCCTCGAAAAAGTCATTGCTCCAACGTAATATTCATGTCCATGGAATCAAATCATTAGAATTCTTCATCGGAAGCTCAATTTAGATATATTTTACTAAATAAAACATTTATATTTGCCTGCTATTACTGTAAAAGCTTATTTCAATCGAGCATCTTCTCCGCGACCTCCATCTTGTTTTCAAACTTTCCCCAAAGCACGCGATCAACAAGTTTCATTCTCTAAGAATACATACAGGAATTCCCCATCAAGGGCCAATCATATCATTAAACCACTGGAAAATCTATCTATTTTTAGTAAATAACATTGAAATGAATGGATTCCCTTTATTTCATTGGTTAAAATACGAAAGAAAAAGTCATGTGTGCAAAGTCGATATAGTGACGACCGGCACAGAACGGAAAACATGGCGGCTCTCACTATATCGACGACCGGCACTGTGATGGTGTTATCTGGGTCGTCGATAAAGCGACGACCTGCAGGACTAGGGTTAAAATGAATTTGATGAAAAGTAATTAAAACTAATTTGATATTGCATAATAGACTAATCTGATATTATATAATACCGTAAATCTGGAAATTTTTATGTCGATTTTATTTTGCGAATTCCGGTCAAAATGGTGTTTATTAAATTTTACGTGTC